GTAATTTTAGTGTTAATGTTATTTGTCATGTTTTGTAATATTTTGTAGAGCGCACTGTATTTCTCAGCCTCATTAATGACAGATTTCACGACTTTGCATCATTTTTGTATTTTCATCCATCACTACAACACCCAGCATTCATTATGTAAATGCATCACACATCTGGACACAGCAACAAAGAAATCTACTCATGTACCACTGATGTAGAAGCTAATACAGACGTGATATTCAGCATTCTGCCAACAATGTTATCTCTCTGACTTCTATTTTTTTTTTTATTTTGACACAGTGCACATATTTTAATTTAAGCAGAGTGTCTCTGTACTTTTTCCATTCTTCAGCATGCATTTCTGAATGCTCTTAATCTAACAATGGGTTCAATACACATAAAACATCAATAATTTAATAATAAAATAATGTCCTCCTTCACACTATTTTACACCAATAATGTATTGATTTTAAAGTGTATTCCTTTTTATGCCAGCATTACAAAAAATGAATTTACTATAAAAAAAAAATGCATAACTGTACCTAAAAACATGCATTTGTAATAAATTCTCTAATTTCTAAATGGTGACATTTTTAGAGGAGAGCAGAACAGTCATCAAACATGTTCAGAATGCAGAACCTTCCTCAATCCTCTGAGTGCTGTGGATCATTGTGAACTGGGTTGGTTACAGGAAATAATATCAGTGCAGACAGTAGAGGGAACTCTCAGACACAACAAAAGTCACTTGATCACTCACTCAGTCATTCAGTCACAAACTCAGTCTCTTATATGGTCACTCTCATTCATTCAGAAACCCTACCACTCACGTGGCCACTTACTAAGTCACTAATTCACTCAATCAATTACTCACTTGGTCACTGATTCCCTTAGATCACTTAGTCAATTACTCACTCAATCTGTCTTTTAGTCACTCACTAGGTTAACTGGTCACTCACTTGGTCACTCAGTCACTGCTATTCACTCCGTCATTCACATTGTCCTAAACCCAGTCATTTTTACTCAACTGGTCCATCCGGTCAGTCACAAATTGGCCACTTGCTCACTGACTCATGCAATCTCTTGGTCACTTACAAGATCACTCTGACACAAAGTCTCTTAAGTCACCTAATCTAACACTGTTGGATTACTCAATGAGTCATAGACTCCCCTCAGTCTTTTGTTCACTCAGTCAATAACTTACTCTGTCATTTATACAGTTACTCGGTCACTTAATCATTCACTCAAAATGTCACTCAGTCGTTCACTCAGTCACTAACTCACTCTGTCGGTCACTTACTAGGTCAATTTTTCACTCAATCATTTACTCTGTTACTCACACACTCATTCCCTCACTTGGTCACTCATTTGGACACTTGGTAACTCATCTGACCACTCAATAACTCGCTTGGTCACTTACTCAGTCAGTCACTAACTCAGTCACTTTTTGTCTTTCACTTACTTTTGGTCATTCATTAGGTCAATTAGTCACTCACTTGATCACTCACTTAATCACTCATTTGGTCCATTCATGCACTTTTTTTCTTACTCACTTGGTCATTCACTTAGTCATTCAGTCTTACTCACTTGGACCATTTCTTATGTTATCATTGCCCCAGTTACTGCCTCAACTTAGTCACTCATCCACTTGGTCACTAATCGACTAGGTCACAAACTCGGTCACTCACTTGGTCACTGACTCATTAAGTCACTTTGTCATGAACTCAGCTTCTCTGTAATTCAGTCATTAACTATGTCACTCATTCAGCCACTAACTTATTCAGTCATTCATTCAATGACTTGGTCACTCAATCTGTCACTCAATAGGTCACACAGTCAAAAACTCATTAACTTACATGGTCAGAAACTCAGTCACTCAGTCTTTGGCCACTTACTAAATCGCTTACTTACACGCTCAGTCACTCTAACATAATCAATAAATTGTAGACTCATTCACTCAGTCATTTAGTTACTCAATCTCTCACTTATTTGTTACTTTCTTACTTCATCACTGCCTCAATTGGTCACTCACTCAGACACATATTCACTCACTCAGTCACTCACTTACCAATTGACTGGATTCCTCACTTACTCAGTCTCTGCATCTCCCAACAAAACACACACACACACACACACACACACATGCACACACACAAACATGCACACGCACGTGCGCGCACACACGCACACACACACAAACACACAGACACACAGGCTACCCCCGGCTCCGCTCTCTCCCTTTCCCTCTTCCTCTCTCTCTACTTCCCCCCTCTCTGTTTCACTCTCACCCTCCCTTTCTCCCGCATACACACCTGGAGCTGTGTGGTTTCTCTGCATGTCCAAAAATGGAAGTTTTAAAGGAATTACTCAGTTTAACTTCAGCTGCCTAATAGATGCTTATCAGCAGAATTAACACACTACACTACATGTACATCTACTCTAACTGCACATTTCATCTAATATACACTAAACTCTCATTTAACTGATTTACTCTTATTATTAATACACTGAGAAATCTATACTGAAGAAATTATTGAAGATTTTGAATTGGATATTATGCAAAACTGCTGAATCAAAATTAAAATATCAAAAATATCAAAAATTAAATATTACTAAGAGTGAGCAGGTGTAGCTGGATGGCTTCTGTTATGTTTAATGTCAGTATAATTTAATACAATAATCCTCATGTAAAACACTCCATATATCACTCACCCCTTTGAGTCGAGTCATTTCTTTTTGTGATGTATCTGCGGCCGATCTCCTCATAGACTGCCTCCTCTTAGAGAGCACTGTGAGGGAGACAGAGAGAAACATGGAGCCAGTTCAGTAGAAGAGGAGACTGATGACAGACTGAAGGACTAATGATGTTTAGAGAATGTACAGAAAGTGGATTGTAGATGATCTCTGAATCCCTCTACCTCTCCTGAGCACTCTGTTCTGATAAAACAGCACAACCAGAAGCACTAAGGCCAGGAAGAGCAGCACTCCCAGAACCAGGAGAGAGACTGGATAGATGGATGGAACATCTGTTGATGGAGTGGTTGTTGTCTTTGCTGGCTGACCAACTGCAAATAAAATAAGGAAGAGAAACTGTACAGAACTAAACAATCTATTTAGAATCATGTAGAAAAAAAAAATTACCTAAGACATAAAAAGTACCTGTGGTGGTGGAGGTGGTGGTTGTAGTTTTGGGTGCAACAGTAGAAGGTTCAGATATGTCTGAACATACAGAACAAAACATTAAAAATAAACAACAAACAAAACACAAAATTCTAAATAACACCGGCTAAAGTGAAGTTGGTGTTAACTGGCAGTTCTGATTCTGAATTCTTACAATTTAAGCACTGTATATGCCAAATTAGAATTAGATAACATGAATAAAGTGCATCAATCTACTTCTCGTTATAGCCTCGGAGATCATTAACATGAGGACAAATGTGATCTGACTGGAGTCAGAAACTTCAAAATCTAGAAGACTTCTCTGACCTGCACAGGTGACTCCAGCATCCTGCCTGTGGGAGCAGTCAGTGTGGTTCTTCAGGGAATGAGGACAGTCCCACAGGTGAATCTCATTCCCTCTACACTTCACTCTGTTCAGCCAGATAGGCCCTTCACCAGCACCAAAGACAGCACTCCCATCAGCACTCCCATCAGCACTCAGCGCCGGCCCACAGCCCAGCTGCCTGCAGACCACCTGAGCCTCCATGATGTCCCACTGATTATCACAGATGGAGCCCCACTCAGCCTTATGATACACCTCCAGCCTCCCAGAGCAGCTTCCATTTCCTCCTCTCAGCCTGAGATGCAGGTAATCTACATCACATAAATCAGACAAGAGAGTCTCCAAATTCTCAACGATACACTGTAATATGCTGAAAATCTAGTTTCCCAAAATGACATGCCACAAAGTTGATCTCAGCTATATAATTCACATGAGAACAAACTGATCATGAAAATTGTGGCATAATGTAAAGCTTTTTTTATTAATTAATTAATTGATTTTTTTAATTAAATTAGAGAACACAAAGAACATTAATACATATAAAAAGTCAAACTGCTTTGCATGTCATTTAGAAAAAAAATAAACCTCTAAGCAAACAAGTAATACTCTGTTCTGTAAATTCATGAAATAAATTATCTTACTTGAGTACTGTTTCTGGGAGAGAGATGAAGTGCATGTCCGATGAGTGTATTGCCGGCTTTGGTCTGCCATGAAATGAACATTAAACCAAAAATAAACCAATGTTCTAGATCACTCTGTCTATAAGCAAACTGATTCTCATTCGAATACACACTCAAAAAAAGGACAAAGCATTAACCTTTTAATAGCCTTAACAATAATTTCAGTTAGTAGATTAGCAAGACCAGACCAAAACCTTCAGTAAAAATCATTATATATTACATATTTGTTGCATAATATAATCTATAGAGAGGAATTGCCTACGTGAACAGGTAATGCGAGCCACTTCATTGTTTTTATCACATTTGTTTTGTCCCCAGGGTGAAGATGCACAATGCCACAAAGTGGAGTCATGCTTCCTACATTTGACATGATCCAGCCAGTTAGGAGCTGATTCCACTCTTGTTCTGCCCCAGGACTCACTGCCAGATCTTCCACAGTTCAGCTCTCGACAAATCACACTTGCTGTTTCTTCAGACATTTCATTTACACACACATTACCCCAGGATCCATTGTAGAACACTTCCAGATTCCCCTCACAGCCCTCAGTGAGTCTGATCTCTTTAAACTCTGGTGAGAGAAGAATGATTTATTTAAATTAATACATTGCTATGTAGCATTATTTCTAATAGTACATGGTATTGAAATATGCTACTTTTAAAGTTTAACATGTGTTACTATGCATTTGAGCAACTTGTCACAGAGTTCGCATCTCAGTAGATTGAAATGTGCTGTATGTATCTATATAACATTTTCAAAGATCGTGTAACTTTATTATAAAAAAAGAATGAAAGATTATCAGTTTCAGGGTTATCTGTCAACTACACTCAAAATTTACAGTATTGAGCACACAACTCCTATGTCCTCCATGTGTTCACATTCATCCTTTCCGCACAGCTGAAATCTGCAGTTCCACAGGGACGTCTCGTTCCCCTCACACTCCACCTCATTCAGCCATATGGGTCCTGTTCCAGGTCCAAACCTAGCTGGTACCAGAGCACTGAGGGCCACTCCACACTGCAGCTGTCTGCACACCACCTGTGCATCCTTAATATCCCACAAGTCATCACACACTGTCCCCCATGAGCCGTTGTGGAAAACCTCCAGCCTTCCTGCACAGTCTCCCCCAGAACCAACCAGCCTGATAGAGCTGTGAGCTGCATTAAACTGACCTACACACAAACACACACACACACACACACACACACACATACACACACACACAGCAGTTCACCCTAAAATTACTCAAACATTACAGCTGTATTAGTATGAGACCAATGGATTGCTCAGCGCTCCTACACATAATGAAGAAAATCAATGTCCTGATTGTGAAGTGAACAACTAAGATTACAATATTTTTTGGGAAGAGTGTTTTTTGGAAGATTCTTAGAAATTTTTATTATTTAACTGATGCAATGTTTACCAGAGCAGGTGATTGAGATCTGTTCTCTGGAGCTGCAGTTGACTGCTTGTGCGCCGCTGCAGTTCCCCAGATGAGCTTCACTCCCAGAACAATTGAAACCCGTCACACACATGTGTCTGTGTTCAGGACTGAATTGAGAGAAGTTGGAGAAGCTGAACACAGAGCCACAGCCCAGCTGTCTGCAGACCTCAGAGGCCTCAGACTCACTCCAGGAGTCCAGCAGAACTCTCCTCCAGTCCTGTCCGAAGTACACCTCCACCTCCCCCTCACACTCCATCCCTCCAGACAACCGCACTCGCCCCTCATGAAACGCCAGAAAGGAACCTGAACAAGAATTATACAATGAAGAACCTTTTTTTGTTGTTTTGACAATGGATGAAACAGACTTAGTTAAACTATTTTATTTTTTTGAATGGCACAATTTAATGTAATTTCAACTGCTCACCACTGCAGATGACTCCAGCATCCTGTTCATGAGAGCATGCAGTTCGACTCCATGATGAAATGGGACATTTTGACAGGTGGGTTTCGTTCCCCTGACAATCAAAAACATCAGCCCAGATCTGGCCACTCCCCTCCCCAAACCAGTCTGACCCCAACACAGCCACAGCACTCCCACACTCCAGCTGACCACAAAGGACACTGGCAGCTCTCATATCCCAGCTTACATCACACACTGTGCCCCACTCACTGAGGTACTGGAGCTCCACTCGACCAGAACAGGAGTCAGAGCCGTTCACCAGCCGAACCCCTGTGTGACCTGAATCAACATCACATTACAGGAATGGCCATGAATAAGAGCAAATCACTGCTTATATAATGGGATAAATAATGGCATGTTTTACTGAAAGGTTTTAATCCTTTTAAAGGAGAGCTTAAATTTTAATACTTTACCGGCACACACCATGATGTTGGACAGAAGGAAATCTGAGATTCGTTGCCTCTACACTGAAGCTCCTCTGACCACACCTGACCCTCCCCTCTGTCAAAAGCAGCTTCTCCCAGCACCTCCACAGGAAGCCCACAGCCCAGCTCTCGATACACAACCTCTGCATCCTGCTGGTTGAAGTCCCCATCACACACTGTGCCCCAAATTTTCCCATGAAGCACCTCCACTCTCCCAGAGCACATATGGAAACCTTCAGTAAGTCTGGACTTTCTGTGACCTGTGAGTATAGAATTTCATTAAGAGTGTGCAAAGCATGAAAAAGTTTACTTAATTGGTTTGTGACATTTACTTAAAGCTGAGTGGTTCCAAATATTTTTTTTTTGGTTTCTGTATCAATTCTTGTGAGGCTCTTGTGAGGAAGACATTACTCTTCCTATCTTTATTTAACCAAAAATGTTTTAGGTGGTTTTTCATAGGATTCCAGCTCTGTGGTTCACTTTCTGCATTCACATTTAGTTGAAACTCTGTTTCAGTGTTCAGTTGAAGAAAGCAAAGTTCACTGCATCACTTCAACTGGATGCTTAAATAAGCTGGACAATGAAACTTGCGCCTAGATGAACTGATCTAATCTGATCTGATCTAATTAACTGTCTGTAGGGACTAAACTTAGAGAACTTGCTATTTATTTACTTATTTACTTACTTACTTACTTACTTACTTACTTACTTACTTACTTACCAGTATATGTTCCAGAACACTTAAACAAACAATATGCAAGCACACATAATAGAATAGCAATGCCACCTTCTCTTCATATATGCATCTTTTCTTTTTACTTCATCTTTTCTACATGATTTACTCAATAGTATATTTATATTATATATATTGACGAGAAGTGGGGGAACTTTTGGCTCTGCTTCCAAAACACCTAATCTAACTCATCTGCTAATTTACAGTCTCTTCCACCAAGAAAACACTAAAATGTGCAGGACAGGGGGTACTCCTAGATCAGGTTTAGGAACATCTGATTTAGAATAAACCTTCATGGTTACTTGATGATAAAAATTGTATGCTTTTTTTCACATTTTTGCATGAATTCTCGTATATACCAGTTTTTGGAGTGCTAATGCAAAAGATCCAATTTTAATACATGCAACATTTTATATTACATGTACAACAATAGACTGAATGTGATATCGTGATAATGATAATATTTCAGCAGGCTATTATACATTGATATGATGACTTACCTGAGCAAATGACTCCAGCATCTCGACTATGATCACAGTTATGTTTACCCCATCCTGTTGATGTACACTTCTTCAGTGTAGACTCTGACCCACTACAATCCACATTATCCATCCAGATTTATCTGGTACCGCGTCCAAAATGAGCACTTCTCGGAGCATCTACAGCGTCTCCACAGCCCAGCTCTCTACACACCACTGCAGCATCTCTCATACCCCAGTAATCACCACACACTGTTCCCCACTGTCCTCTAAGAAGAACTTCCACTCTTCCAGCACAGTGACTGCCACCATCCACCAACCTCACACTGTCTGTAAAGACAGAGAGAAACAAAGAAAGGGACAGACAGAGAAAGACAAAGCTGTCAACATTTTAAATGCAGCACATCAGTCAAAGAATATAAGAATAATGGGAAAAGATGCCCTTCTTACCAGCACACACCAGACCCACATCACTGTCATAGGAGCAGTTGTGATTAAGCGAAGATGATGTTGGACAGAAGTAAATCTGAGATTCATTGCCTCTACACTGAAGCTCCTCTGACCACACCTGACCCTTCCCTCTGCCAAAAACAGCTCCTCCCAGCACCTCCACAGGAAGCCCACAGTCCAGCTCTCGACACACAACCTCTGCATCCTGCTGGTCAAAGTCAGCATCACACACTGTGGACCAGGTCTCTCCATGAAGCACCTCCAGTCTCCCAGAGCAGGGAGAACAACCAACCAGCCTGAATCCTGAAACAAGAGTGGAGACACTACATCAATACAACAATTTAACAATTCATTAAAACTTAATATAATGTAAACTACAAACAGCTGTGAATCTTTTCATTTTCTAAAGGCAGTATTCAGAATAGAAATAAAAAATAATTTTTACATTTAAAAAAATACTTTTAAAATGCTTACCTGCTAAATAAAAAAATACAATCTTAATAAGAAACATCATCAATGCTTGATTATTAAGTATTAAAATCAATGCAAACATCTCTCAAGGGAACTCTACTTTCAGTCACTATCTTCTCAGTTGGTACTCGGAAGAGGCAAAGACTCTGATAGATCCCACTCTGAACTCAATCAGAAAATGAGACAAATCATGCAAAATGAACTTATGGAATAACTGAAATTTGGGAAAAGATGATACTTAAAACTCCTCCTTCTCACTTCCTACATCATTTAAATACCCCTTCTTCACTCCTCCCTTGTGACCTCTCCTTCTCCTCCTCTTTCTCCATTAGCATCCATTATACAGATATACGTATCTCTGTAGGTAAAACCAAATCAGGTAGTACTATTTATTCTAACTGTCTAACTTAAAAAAATATTAATGTTTTTTTTGAGCAAATAAACACTTACTGACCAGATGAACAGCTTTTTAAGTATTATTTTCTCAGGTCAGAAACTTTTGTACAGTACTACATATAAACTGTATTGGTATATAAGCAAATAATTAACAAAAAAGAAAAATTGATAGCAAAAAGACCAATAGAACATCATGGAAAAAGTAAAGCAAAGACTTAATAATGACATTTAAATTACACACTTTTTAGCAATACTTACCTGAGCAAATGACTCCTGCATCACTAGAGTGATCACATTTATGTTCACTCCACCCTGGTGATCTACAGTTCTTCAGTGAAGACTCTGATCCTCTGCAGTGCATGTAATTCATCCAGATTGGTCCTGATCCTGGTCCAAAGTGATCATCACTCAGTGCATCTACAGCTTCTCCACAGCCCAGCTCTCTACACACCACTGCAGCATCACTCATATCCCAGTTATCATCACACACTGTTCCCCACTGTCCTCTATGAAGAACCTCCACTCTCCCAGCACAGCGACTGCCACCATCCACCAACCTCACACTGTCTGTAGAATGGGAGGAGAAGAAGAGGACAGATACAGAAAGACAGACAGAATCAAAGCGAGAATATGTTAAACATAATTTATCACACATCAGACATAATAAATAAGGCATCATACATAACACATTAGTTTAGTTGAGCCAAAGCTTTTCAATGAGAAAGAAAAACACTGAACTAAATTCAGTTAACGTTTTATTGATGCGTTATTACCAAAGGCATCGTAGTGAGGATTTCCTGAGCAGATGACTCCAGCATCTTCACTATGATTGCAGTTATGTTTGCCCCACCCTTTTGATTTACAGTTCTTCAGTGTAGACTCTGACCCTTTACAGCCAACATCATCCATCCAGATTGGTCCTGATCCTGGTCCAAAAAAAGCTCTGGTCACTGCATGTACAGCCTCTCCACAGCCCAGCTCTCTACACACCACTTTAGCATCATTTCCACTCCACTCATCATCACACACTGTTCCCCACTCTCCTCTATGAAGAACCTCCACTCTCCCAACACAGCGACTTCTACCATCCACCAACCTCACACTGCCTGTAAAAAAAAGGGGGGGGGCAGAGACAGGCAGAGACAGGCAGAGAGAGAGTAAGAGAGAGAGAGAGATCTGAAACATACATTGTTTTCTAGCTCTAAAAACACAGAATTTTGTGGAAGCTGTCTTGACCACACTGATACCCTGTCCTTATTTTTTATCAAGCCAATAAATACATACATAAATAAAAATAATTCTCTCATGAAGAAACATGTAATCAGAATATTGTTGAAAAAATTATGAAGCATATTTATAATATAATGTAAGACAAATTTCCTCCCAGTTTTGTGAAAGAAATCATATGCAGGACAATATGTATGTGAAATTTTGTGACAATTTTGGTAACGCTGGAAACCAAAGATATACATAAATTGAGGGCGAACATCCAAAGCCATGTGATTAATTAATTGAGGATTTTTAGAGCACCTGTCTAGAGTTTGTTTTGTGAATCTCACTGATGTAGGCACAAGCATCGAGATTTTTTGTCCATAGTCATGTTATAATAAAGGCTTTTGTGTAGTTAAGAGTACCACATGTTTTTCATTTTTTTCTAGATTTTGAGTTTTTAATCAAGATTTCTAGAGATAAAATTATTTGATTACATATAAAAGTTATCTTACCAGCTGTAGTGAGTGTGATTGTGGAGGACAGAAGAATGAGAGCCACACAGATGTCCATCTCCCTCTGACCTGTACACAGTCTGTTCAACTCAGCAGCAGAACAAGCTTCACATCCACTCCTCCAGAGAGACTGAAGAAACTGAGAGAGAGAGAGAGAGAGAGAAAGAGAGAGAGAGAGAGAGAGAGAGCTCCCCACAGCCGCCAATCACACTCACTATTACTTTATTAGAAAGAGAAGAGGAAATCATCAAACATTTTCAGTGACAAATCAGAGGAGGCTTTTTTTTCTTTCTCCATATTTATCAAAAGAGTGTCAGCACTGATGAACAGAACTCCACCTCCGTCTCTAGAGGTGCGTGTGTGAGGAGAGACGCTCGCAGCAGTGTGGTGAGAAACACACCAACATACAGGAGACTGACTTCAGAGAGAGGAAACACTCCAGTGTAATACAGCATTAATGCTGCACCTGCAGAGAGCTGATCCACACACTGATAACCAGCTCACACACACACACACACACACACACACGTATACATACACACACCGCTCTGAGTTAGAATACAAATGCACAGGAGCACTACTTTATTACTCATAAATGTTTAAAACATATATATGTAAAATAGTATTATACTGATCTGAACTGAGCAGCCTTTTAATTATTTTGTAATAAACGCAAGAAATAACATAATAATTGAGAAGAATCACAGAATACACAGAATAATTTTATAAAAATAATATATTGTTTATCACAGTTCAATTGTTTTACACCAGTCATTTAGTTTAACTTTTCCACAAAATCTCAGATTGTTTTAGTCACTCTAATACATTTTATTCTCCACAAGATGGCGCGCAGCTTTGCATACCACACCTCCAAATTCCCCTCTGCAACATGGAGCAAGAGGTAGCCGCAACAATACCTTTTTATTGGAATGAGCTAAATCACTCTGTGGTCATGGCAAATAAACAAGAAACGTTGTTTTGCTTCTTTTTTCCCGCCTTTGAAAACTACATCACCTAAATGAATGTCACAAACTCCATCTGCTGGGCGTGTGAGGTAGTACACATAGTACTACCATGTACCATGTACTTTTGCGTTCCTCTTGGATTTTACTGTCTCATTTAACACACCTGCAGCTCATTCTCAGTGGGGGGTATTCTGCAAAGCAGGGTTTCTCAGTTTAGCCAGATAACTTAAACCCAAGGTCAACCCTGTCTAATAAGAAAAGAGCTGCGGGACATTCCAAACGGATAGTCCTCATATTTGGGCTTAAGTTATCTGGCTAACTGAGAAATCCTGCTATTTGAAATACACCCCCTGGATTACCACCCTCATATATACTCCTCTGTCTGTAGCTTTTATTAGGGCTTTACTCTGTTCTGTTGTGTTTACTAAACTAGTAGCTCATTAGTTGTTTAGTTCTCGGCTCATGTTGCAGTCCATCTGATTTAAGTCTGTGTTTTCTATACTTTGTTTTACTATGTACATGCCTACTGGACTCATGAGCCCGAGCTACTAGTGATGGTCATCAGTTTCCTACAATGACTGATTTCTGTCATATGTTTTTGTTAAAGCATATTCACACAAATAAACCTCTATCACCATGCAAATATCTTAATTTGATCATTTTAACACTAAATAAACATATCATTAACATTTGATTTTCTACACAGTACTCGGCAAGCGCGGAGCACCACGGGTATCTTAAAATCGGAAGAGGGGGTTCAGTCCCGAAGTGGCATCTGGCAGCAGGAAGTGGCAATTCCGCCATCCGGAAATGGCACGTACTGGCATGTGCCACTTAGCGAATGACACCTGTCACCGATAACTGGTAACGAGTGGCACATGCCGCTCGTGCCACTCGGTTAGTGGCACTCGCCAGTGGCACCTGCCACCCAGAAACGGCATGTGCCTCTCAAAACAGGCACAGACCAACAGCTCCTGTGAGTAAAGCAAAGGCTCTGGACAGCGGCTACTCGGCTCGGCTAACTAGCAGCACATCATTGCTCCACCATCGGCCATCAGAACCTGGGAACAGTCATGGAGGAATATTGACCTAATGACCTTGTCATTTTGTTGGTTGTGCTGTTGGGTGAACGATTCTAAGCGAACTGAGACGCTTTAGCCGAAGGCTATGCAACAATAGCAGTAACGCTATCTTGAATACAGACTCTTTGCGGACTTTTGTTGTGGCACGGAGAGCCGAGGAAAGCAGCTCGTGTTACAGATGTGCTCAAACTAATTACTGAATTCATTGTGGTGTTATTCATGCTAAATCTAAAGTATGTATAGACTATTCATCAGCATATTTATTAAACAGGACAAGAGGAACGCAGGCTTTTGTCTTGTTTTTATTGATTATGTTTTCAGGAGTGGCACTAGCCATTTACTGAGGGTAAAGCCATTGGCATGTGGCGCTCAGGAGTGGCACTAGCCATTTACTGAGGGTAAAGCCATTGGCATGTGCCGCTCAGGAGTGGCACTAGCCATTTACTGAGGGTAAAATCATTGGCATGTGCCCCTCAGGAGTGGCAATCGGTAGCAGAACTAGCTGCTGATCACACAGTGGACAACGTTCTAAGGTTTGAAAATAGTTCTTGATTAGCCTGCATCACACAGGTAAATGCACCAGTTGAAGGTTTGATCTCAAACGTAAGCAATATTGATGAATAACTGTATTCAGTAATTCTTGTGAATGTGTTCCTGTTACTAATTTCGGAGTTCCTGAGCTATTGCGTAAAACATTTACAGTTACAAATCTACCTCGCCACATTTGCAAGTATTGTACAGTGTTGTTCTCATGGTATATGGGGTCTTTAAAGTTTGAATTATGTAAGTAATCTTAAAGCATGTGCAATGTAAAATAAGAGGAACTGTAGTGCATTTTTTAAGGTACAATGTAAATTTAACCAATTGTGTACCTTAAATATGCTTTTCCCAGGTAAAGGTTATACATTTGTTCATTTGCATAATCTAAAACAGAACAATAAAATAAAAAAGCATGGAGACAAGACTGGGTACTGGGATTACGCTCCCTAAATAAATGGTACTCAAGACGTACCTTGAGGGTACCACCCCTGTGACAGTTCAGTATAAACCCCTGTGTGTTTAAAACATTATCCCCACTTTAACTGATGTAACGTCGAGAGCTCTTGACAGTATGGATGACCACGGTAATACATTTAATACATTCTACATTTATGTATTAATAAATCAATGAAATTACTTTGCTTCAATTATTTTTAAGCACACATTACTTATGTTTTGTTTATGTTTAAAGGATGACAAAGTACAATTTAAACTACAATACATAATAGAATACTGCAATACTTTAAACTACAATGTTAAGTTAAATTTATTGTTAACATGATAACCATGTGAACTTTATGATTAAGTAAGCATAATTTTTATAATGCACAGATAATTTTTAATAATAAGTTTATGTTGACATGAAAATTAGATTTACTTTTGTTTAGGTATAATTTTGTATGTGAAAAAATATATTAATGGAAGTGTACTTGTGAAGTTATATTAAAACATACTTTAAAATGCATTTCTTTAAAATATACAACACACTAAAGTATACTTTTAAATGTATTTCTTATAAATATATTTTGTAGAAATACAGAAAAAGTATATTTAATGTATATTTTCACAAAGAACATGAAAAGACAAAATTACTTTACTGTTCTTTACACAATTTGAATATACTTCTAGTGTTCTTAAGTATACTTCCTTTTCACAAGGGAAATCAAAGACTGTAAATCATCTCTGCCCAAACTGGGAAGCTACTGCAAGCTGAAGACAGTGGGCAACAATTTTATTGCCAAACTGATCTGAGGTCAGCTGAGAATCAATGTGTCACAGATTATTGAGTAGTTTTGGGATGAAAGCTTTTCTGCCTTGTAGGCTACAACATAATTAGGCCATTGCTGTGTCCACAATCTCATGACTGGAATCATGTAGACGAAAAAAAAAAAAAATTAGTCTACTGAGGTTCAGAACTCAGTGTTTTCATAGTTATGGCCATATGCATAAATATCTGTCTGTTCTGCCGTCTGTTTTAAAGACAATGTGAGGTTGGTTGATGGTGGCAGTCGCTGTGCTGGGAGAGTGGAGGTTCTTCATAGAGGACAGTGTTGTCATTTGTATTTCATTTAATAGTCGTGAATGTTTTTTTGTCATAATCATTTATATTTCAGAAACTGTCTTTTTTATTTAATTTGTTCACTTGTCTTAAAACTTTCAAGGACAGAGGAACAGTTTATCTTACATCTCTTTATCTTTAAAAACTTACGTGTTTCTAAACAAAATATTTCAAATTTTAAATTTTGCCTTTTAACAAAATAATTTTATTTAAACAGAATTAATTCGCTAATCAAAAATTTCATAATTTCTATTTTCAAATGTAATATATTAGGAGTCAGGCTGAATGGTGGTTCTCGCTGCTCTGGGAGAGTGGAGGTGCAACATCACCTTCACACAACTGCACCCATGACAGTGATGCAGGATTGGTGTGTACTGGTAAACAATGCATTTTTAATTGAGATTCACTTCAACAAGATTTATTTTTTAAATATAAATATTTTTCCACTGCTTGTCAAAGTAGATGGCATTGAATTACCTTTATCTATGATCATGATTTTGATTCAGGTCACACTCAGGCTCAGCTGGTAACCGGCTCTGACTCCTGTTCTTGTCGAGTGGAGCTCCAGTACCTCAGTGAGTGGGGCACAGTGTGTGATGTAAGCTGGGATATTAGAGCTGCCAGTGTCCTCTGTGGTCAACTGAAGTGTGGGAGTGCTGTGGTTGTGTTGGGGTCAGACTCGTTTGGGGAGGGTACTGGCCAGATCTGGGCTGATGTGCTTGATTGTCAGGGGAACGAAACCCACCTGTCAAAATGTCCCATTTCATCATGGAGTCGAACTGCATGCTCTCATCAACAGGATGCTGGATTCATCTGCAGTGGTGAGATCTCAGAATCATGTAGTCCATCTCACAGTAATATACACCATGTCAAAAATGCCTGTTGAAGTCTGAGGAACCTCCAATAAAATATG